TCCCCCCATCACACCCTATTGCACCCCAACATTGGTGCTAAGTGTCAATTGCCACTTATCAGTACACAACTAATGCTTTTTCCCTAGATAAAAATATTAATAAGCATTAAAAAACATTTCCAAGATCCAGTAAGTTTGCAAAAACACCGAGTTAATCAAAGATGAGCCAGTTTCTTTACAGTGTCCTTCTCTTAGTCTTTCATGTGCTATGGATCAGGAGACCCAGCATACATTTCTTTGGCCAGGAACATCTTTTTTTCAGAAACCATCTCTTTGTAATTAAGGTCACTGGGTGGTACAAAAAGTTTGCGCTTGACTTCTAACCAGAAGGTTGGCAGTTTTAGTCTACCCATGGAAGAAAACCTCGTGATCTATTTCCATAAGATTAGAGCCACTGGAAACCCTACAGGGTGCAATTCTACTCTGACACACATGAGATTGCTATGAGTTGAAATCAGCTTGACAGCAATGGGTTTGCTGTTTGATTTGACTCTTTGAAAACTATCATTAAGCTCCCTATGTACTTCCAAGGAGCTCTGGTAGCATAGTGCCTAAGGCACTTGACTGCTAACCAGAAGGCTGGTGGTTCAAACCCACCAGCCACTCCTTGGAAGGAAGGTTGAGCAATCCTACTTCTGTAGTGATACTGCCTTGGAAACCCAAGGAGGGGTCTCTATGAGTCGGGGCCGACTTGATGGCACATAACAACAGTAACAACATGTACTTCCAAACCAGGGGGCTAGTAAACGAAAGTCTCCTTTTTAAGATTATTATCACTCTGGTTTTCAGATGTTCCCTGAAAGCAATTTTGAGAATAGAATAATAGCCTGGCCTAGATCAGGCCAGGACCCAGCACAGGTGAGTCTGTGGTCAGATCGACATTGAGATATCTTCAAGAACAGACCCATTATTCAGGGATGATTTGGGCAGACTGGGGAGAACAGGGCCAGGCTCATGGTGACCCAACTGCTCAAGGAACCAGTTTCCTGGTTCACTACTGTGTGTCTTCTGTGGAAAAGGGGAGAAAAAAAGGTGGAAAATAGAAAGTGATGAGGTGGATTGGTCTCAAAAGAAAAATAGTGCTTTCTTAAAAACAGCCTCTTCAAAGAAAGGCCTCACCGCCCCCTCCCCCCCCAAGCAGTTCTTCCTCTGATTATCATTTCCTTATGCAAGGGGGAGGGCTAACTACATCTCAGCTCTAGGTGTCCAGTGTGTTTTAACATTCATGACAATTACCAGTTGCCAACTCATGACGACACTACTCTGGTGTGTGCCAGAGTAGAACTGTGCTCCACAGGGATCAATGGCTGGGTTTTGGAGGTAGATCACCAGACATTTCTTTTGAGTTGCCTCCGGGTGGACTTAAATGTCAACCTTTGGGTTAGCAGTTGAGTATGTTAACTGTTTACACCAACAAACAACAATTATATCTAGCTAAAATCCCAGAAATACCCCCAAAACAAACAAGTACTAAAATTACTTTAGATGTATTCTTTTAGATGCACATTTATTGCTTTCCAACCAAAGAGGCCAGAAACCCATTTGATGCTAAGGAGAAGGTGTGGAGTTTATCTCATGGGTTCTGTGGTGACAAATCTCTCCTGTTAAGCAATCTCCTCAGAAATGTTCCCTGGCTACAACTTTCCAAGTGGATCCTCTAATTAACATCATAAACCCTCTAATTAGCCAGTTCCAAAGCATTTACCTTTTATTTCCCAGGGGAAGAGAACTGTTCCTCAGGAGCTAAAATCAGTTGCCATGGAGTGGACTTTGATTCATGGTGACCCCATATTGTCAGAGTAGAACTATGTTCTATAGTATTTCCGATGGCTGATTCTTTGGAAGAAGGTCACCAGGCCTTTCTCCCAATGCACCTCAGGGTAGACTTGAACTACCAACTTTTCAGTTAGCAGCCAAATGCATTAACCATTTGCACACCCAAGGACTCCTCTTAGAAGTAAGCAGTCCTTAAATAGCTGGTATGCATTACACAAAGCAAGCTCCTTTCATTCAAACAATGACCAGAGCACCTGCAGAACTTCTGTGAGACTATGGTGGATAAAATCAAAAGAAATAAGACAGGCCTATGGTGCTCCTTGAGAGAGATGAATGTTTCATTTCTTGGCAAATAGTCAAGCGCTTATCTGCTGTAAGTCAATCATCTAAGGTTGCTAACTACTAGCTCAGAAAATACTTTTTGTCACTGTGGCCTCTCCTTCTTTGTAAGTCCAAATATAGCTGCTATGCTTCTTTTGGGGCCACACAACTTGTCATAAAGTTGTGTCTTTTTCATTTACTGAAACAAAGCATGCCCTTTCTCTAGTGATCCAGTTTGGAATTTAATCAATGGAACCCTCATAAAACAAAAACCTGTGTAAAATGGTGGTGAATAATGTGGCAAGACAGGTTGCGTACAGACTTCACTTTGATTGAGATAACGTCAGATGAGAAGCTCAAAGATAGATTTGATGATAGAGCTAATAATGAGTTTTACTTTGTAAAAATAAAGCAACAGTAAAAACAAAATAACTTGTCATTGAGTTGACTCTGACTCATGTTAGGCTCATGTGAGTGAGAGTAGAACTGTGTTTTCCCTGGCTGATTTTTCAGAAGTAGAGCATCAGGCCTTTTTTCTAATGTGCCTATGGTTTGACTGGAACCCCTTCAACATTTTGGTTAGCAGCTAAGTGGTAACTGTTTGCACCACCCAGCAACTCAGTAAACCTACTGCCATGGAGTTGATTCTGACTCATAGTGACCCTATAGGACAAAGTAGAACTGCCCCATAGGGTTTCCAAGGCTGTGAATCATTACAGAGGTAGAGTAACTCATCTTTCTCTCATGACGTAGTTAGTGGGTTTGAACTACTGATCTTTTGGTTAGTAGCCCAAAGCTTTAACCACAGTGCCACCAGAGCTCCTTAGGAACTCAGTAGCTTGCATTTTTTGAGAACTTATGATGGCAGGCTGAGTGTTAAACACTTTCCACAGATTATCTCATACAATTCTTACAATCACCCCAGAAAGTGTTCCAATTTGATGAATGACAGAGTAAGGCTCAGCGAGGTTAAGTCCTTAGCCCAAGATCACATAGTTAATAAGATTTCAGGACAGGATTCAACCCAGGCAGTGTGTCTTAAGTGCTGGCTCCCTTAACACAATGCTCTACTGTACCCCTGGAAAACAGTGATGATCTTGCCTTTGAGCCCCCCCAAGCATGCTCAGTGTGCTCATGGCCACACTAGATGAAGAGATGAGAAGTTATATAAAATTTTAAAATGTTGAACAAATTTGAAATAGCAGAGAAAATGCCACATAATGAAGATCTCCTAATTTAAAATGACTGACTCAATCCTCTTTTTTATTTTTTAAATTTTAACCCACATTGTTAGAGGAGATGGAACAGCTTCACTAGGATAAAATAATGACTCTCTTTACCCCATCTCTTCCGTAAAGAGCTGCAGCCATGTTAGCTGCTACAGAAAGATCAGAGCTGAGCTAAAAAGACTTCCCCCGGTTTGATTGTTATTTTTGCTTTACCTGCTGTAGATGAAGCACTCTCGATTATTGATTACTTTATCAGATTTGAATCTCCGGAGGTCTTCCCAAGCATCCTTGATGGCAGTCATCGCCAGAATGATACAGATCGGAATCGTGCTCACCTCAGGCTGGAATGCATTGACAACTGGGACAAAATTCAGAGCCACAAGGGCCACAAAGTAGAGATTGGCAAACCTGTGGAGCTGCTCAAAGAGGTTCTTGGGTATGAAGGACAACATAGTGTACTTGGTGGTCTTAATGCAATTCCCACAATAATGATTGCTGGGGTTCTTCTTGTGAGACCATCCTTCAAAGGGCAGATTGGAAACCACCACTCGTTTCTTATCTTCTTTCCTTATTCGCCTTTTCCTCCTTTCCTTTTTCATCTCTGCTCAGTCTTGTCTCTTTAATTCTCATAGCATGGCACTTTACGTCCTAGTAAAGGAGTATTTTCCTTGATCAGTTCCATTGTTCAGCCACCAGCCAACAATGTCTTTCACATCTTTCATTTGTTTTCTCTGCTGAAAATTCTCTCTCTTCTTTTCAAAGGAAAATTAAAAATAAAAACCAGCGTACAAACACCAGGGGAGAAATATGATGAGGAAAGAGCTTGCTGAAAACAGTTGTGCACCTGCCAGGCCACTTCCTTCTACTTGTTTGAGAACTCCACCTGTTGGAATGTAGACGTCACTCACAGGTATCTTCCTTTTCCACTCCAGCAGCTGAGAACAGATGCCCTAACTCTGGGTCCTAAAACCTACCTGGTTAGGTTTTAAAAGCAAAGATTTCAAGCCCAAACTACCTAAGCTTTAAGTATGCTATGCATTTTCTTGTTTCAGAGACATTGCTTGATATCCTCCAAAGAGCTGCTCTTGAATTTAGTCTCCAGTCAATCAAAAAGTTTAATTCCTGAGACTTAAACCCCACTCTTAGTAATATAACATCCTTGTGCTTAATAATGTGAGTGCTTATACAAGGCATCTCAACTGTGCCAGTGTTATCAGAAAACTCTAAGTGGAGCTGTCCTGTGCATTGTAGGATGCTTAGCAGATCCCTGGCCCTTACCCACAAGATGTTAGTAGCAGCCTCTGTCCTAGTATGACAACTAAAAATGTTTCCAGACACAGCCAAATATTCCCTGAGGGGCAAAACCACCCCTGGCTGAGAATCACTGAATTAATTAATTATTGTGATTTTCTGGGCAGTGCAAATAGTTAATGCACTCACCTGCTCACTGAAAGTTTGGAGGTTCAAGTCAACCTAGAGACACCTCAGAAGAAAAGCCTGGTGATCTACTTCCAAAAAACCAGTCATTAAAACCCTATGGAGTACAGTTCTACTCTGAGAAACATAGGGTTGCCATGAGTCAAAATGTGAGAAGAGATGCCAATCCCTTGAAAATACTAATGAATTTGCATAAGTTATTTTCATGAGAGAAAACAAATGTATGATTTTTCTTACCTTTCATATATTTGGATTTTGGAGCAATTTATCTCTCTATCAAAGAGGTATCTCTTGAAGTCCTCCATGCCGTCCTTGACCATAATGATGAACAGGACAACGACCAATGGTAACATGGTGATTTCCCTGTGGAAGACTTCCATGGAAGGTATCCAGTTCAGAATCACCAAGAACAGGAAATAGAGGTTAGCCCATCTGGAAGGGGCAAGCAAAGTGTGAGTGCAAGCCATGGAGAGAGAAGAAAAAATACACTTGTCACCCTATTTCTTTCTTATGAACTAAAATGACAATGTTACTTAGAACATTATGGTAAAAACTTTGAAACCAAACTCATCTAGGTTCAAATTCTAGCCCTATGTTTACTAGTTGTGAGAACTTCCAGAACCTCAGTTTCTTCTTGTATAAAATAGGGTTAGTACTACCTACTTTAATTATAATAGTATATTATAATATTATAAATTTTTCATAGGATAGCACTTGTAAGTGGACAGTATAGAATCTAGAACACAAGTTGCTCGGTAAAGGTAGCTCATAATAATCACCATCGTCAAATTTTGGATAATATCAAATTATATAATTTGCTTTAAAATTATAAAAAATTTTCTTATAAAGTATCTCAGGAGAGTAGCTTGTGTTTTCAAGTATTCTAAGTGCATCTTGCTCCTTCTTACCACAGTGCCTTTACATATACAGGTCTGCCTGTAGGAACATTCTTTTGGATCCCTTCTGAGATTTTCCTCTGCCCCTTTTCAGCCTGTAAATGTGTTTTTGTTCTTTAGGTCACATTTAATCATCTCTTCTTTAGGGAAGTCACCCCTGACTTCCTTAACGAGGCCATATTTCCCTATTATTCCCTATAAAAGCACCATCACCTCTCCTTGGAAATATCTGAGTAATAATTTTACATCAATTTATATGATTTTAAAATTACTGTCTATCTCTTTCATTAGACAATAAACAAGAATCTTTCTCTTTTTTCCCTAATATATCTCTAGCACTCAACACATGGCTTAATACAGAGTAGAACCCAGTAACTACTTGATGACTGATGAAAAAATGAATGGTACAGACTTCTCAAGGTACATGGATGGGTGCCTGCACTATTTCATTAGTATATGAAAGCAAAGGTTGCTTGAGACAGGACCTCCAAGTTTGTCTATGTGACAGACACTTATTTAAACCGTTTGGGTCAAGTGGTTGAATACCTGTGAAACTGCTCAAAGAGATTCTGGGGTAGGAAGGTGAGGAGGGTATATTTGCTTGTGCAGATTCTGTTGTCAGAGTATCTCCTGGAGATCTTTCCCCAATCATACTGGAATATCTTGTTGTTGGGGAACACGACCCGCTGCTGCCTCAGGTTGTAGCTTTGCCCCTGTCTCTTTGAAGAGATGAGCGGTGTGATTTCTGATGGAGACCGCGGTAAGCCATTTCTGAATCGCCACTGCCACCGGAACCAAGAAGAGTCCACTGAGAGGGCCATTTCCGGCAGCAGGCTAGGGTGGGAGAACAAAGTCATTAAGTGGCTATGGATAGGAGAACAATGTGGCATATTGACCATCCATCAATTCAATGTTGATAGTAGGATACAATATGAGAAAAATAAACTCAATTCCTATAGTCTGTATGTTCTATGGTGAAAAATATTAAACAAATAATCATATACATAACATACAATTAAAACTGTGGTGAGTCCATTAAAGCACTCAATGGGTATGGGGGGTATTGAGGATCTAGTTGAAGCTATCAGGAAAAACAAAAGTATGGTCTGGTGGGCTTTGACTTTGGAGATTAAAATTCTAGTTCTGGTTTATTACTATGCTAACTTGTCCCTTCACCTTGCTGATCTCCAGTTTCTTTACCATAAAATAAAACTATTCTTACTCTGTTTTTTTATTTGAACAAGGATATTTTTTTGTGAGAAACTAATTAGACAGTATGCAAAAGTATGTTGAGACATCTTAAAAAAGGGGAAAGATATTTATTCTGTAGGTTTTCTTTAGCTCTGAAATTTTCTGATACTGATGACATTGAGAGAAGCTGATCTGTGGTTGGACTCTCAAATGAGAGGACAGGTGGCATCGAAGACATAGGCTCTTTTCTAGGACATATGGGTCAGAAGTGACTGCACTGTCCTGACTCCACTACATGAAACATCACCTGACTTTTTTATGATTTCCATGGCTGGAAGAGGATCGTTTCCTCTCTACTCAGACCATTTAGTGATTTCTGAAACTGAGTACTTGGTAAAGAATGATTTTCCTAGATAGATGGCAAAGGAATACTGTTTCATCTATGAGACTGGAGTTTCTGTTTTTTACTGGAACCTAAAAGCAAGGCCTCAAGGCTCTTTTTGGTCAAATTTTGTTTAAAAACTCAGAAGGATATTATTCAAGAATTTCCACTGAAAAGTTAAAAGTTGTGTATAATGGTATTTCTCATTTAGTAGGTTCATAGAATGATTTTCTTTTGAATGAATGGGTGAATGCTGTCAGGTATTACTAATTTTACAATGAACAGCCAAATCTGTCATTGTGAATTTGATCCACTTAGAAAAAAGAGTTCTATTTCTAGTTTAAATGGTAATAATATTTTACCTTCCTGATACCCATACGATCTGACCTTCATTATAATTCTCCTCATGCCTTTAATCAATCCAAATGATTTTCAATCCACAAACCCCAAGGGTGCAGGAAGCTCTTCAGAGCCTTAAGTGAGCCCTTGTAGCAAGGGTGAAAAAATAGATGCGATTAGTGATGCTCATCACAATGTGACCAAAAGCAGTATTATGATATTTAGCAGACCAGAAATAATTTTGTATATCTTCTTTCTTATTACGAAAAATATGCCCCTTTCATAGATTATTTTTTATTGCAAAGGGAAAGGAAATGAAATGATAATTCATGAATAGAGTTGAAAATGCAAATGAGAAATCTTGCTTTGGCGAATGCTGTATATATCAGACTTCTCTCAATTGTAGAAGATTGAGAGGCAGGGGTTTTAGATGGGGTGGTTTAAAAAGTCCATTTCTTGTAGTTATATATTTTTCAAAAAGCAGCATAAAATAAAATGGAGCTGATGTAAAATTGATGCTAAACTAGTGGATGAAAGTTCCATAGTTTCAAAATATCCTTATCCAAAATTATTAATTACACTGGTGAAAAGAATCACTGTAGTGGAAAAACCTGTAAGACACAATCTTACCCAAGAGATCAAAACAAACATCACTAATTTGGGGGCAAGCATACATCTTGTGGCTACTGATATGATGTATTGAGAAGGACATAAAATTACTTCTGTTTCTGAAAATGTTAAAAAACCTCAAATTAGGGCTATTCTACAAAATAAATAAGCTATGTTTTTCAAAGATCAAAGAATGGCTGAGGACTAGTTTCTGATTAAAGGACTCCAAAATGATATATCATTTTAATAGAAATACATAT